CGCACACACACACACAGAGAGAGGTCACTCCTGATCAATAATCAATAATCAATGCTCAGTGTGTTCTGCTGATACTCACAGATGCTCCTGACACTTCCTCTTCATCACCGCCATCTGCAGGACACACACAGGAGTTAAACTCTCTCTCACACACACACACTCAGATATACAAACACACACACACACACACTCAGATATACACACACACACAGTGCAATTCTGTTCATGGCAAACACTGCAGCGCCTCCTGCTGGATGTGAGTCAAACAGCTGGAAGAGTCAAACTGATGGAGGACTTGATTCAGTGTGTGTGTGTGTGTGTGTGTGTGTGTGTGTGTGTTGCGCATGCCGTGAATCAGGCCGAGGCATCAAAGCTGCACGATGCTTCACTGTACTTACAACAGACTGAGAGAGATTTGATGGACAGACAGAAGAGAGAACAACAGATGCCTGTCACACACACACACACACACACACACACACACACACACAGAGAGAGAGCAGATGAATGTGCAGACAGACAGATAGACCAGCATGATGGAGGAGAGAAACACACATTGAGGAGTGTGTGTGTGTGCGTGTGTGTGTGTGTGTACATGTGTGTGTGTGGTCTCCACACACTGACCCCGTGCGCAGCTGAACATTACTCACATCATCTGCTTTAGATCCGTGCTCCTGGAGAGACTTCTGCAGCTCCTCCACCTGAGACTGACCCTCCAGCAGACGCTGATTAGCCCTCCTGACACACACACACACACACACACACACACACACATACACTCTCACACTCACTCACACACACACACACACACACACACACACACATACATACACTCTCACACACTCTCACACACTCTCACACTCACACACACACACACACACACACACACACACACACACACACACACACACACACAGCTCTGTACCAGCTGTCCTGGTGAAGTCCCTGGGGTAGAAACAGGTGCTGGGTTTGTGCAGGGTCGAGGCTGACGGTGCACGGCAGCACACGCCGATTCCTCTACAAAAACACTTGAACTTGATGGTACAAATTGTCTGATTCAGATGGAGAATAGTAGAATAGTTCTGTTCAAAGCTTTGGGGTCAGGAAGGTTTGATATAAGTTAATGCTTTTATTTAGCAAGAATACTTTACGCTGAACACTAAATTGAATTAATTAAGTGTTTAAAAAATCAAAAAGATTTGAATTCTGAAAGAGACAAGCATCTCAGTTCATTTCAACAATGGTATTTTGTAAAGAAATCAATGTTTTTTTTATGACTTTAAATTAATGGAGCTTGACAATCAAGAAAATAAGAGTTTTTATTGGTCAACTAGTGTATCAAAATGTATTGTTTCCACAAATCATTAAGCAACTTAACTTTTTTCAACATTGTTTCTCCAGCATTAAATCAGAATGTTAG